ACTCAACCTCTCTAAGCTTCCCTAGCACATCTCTAAGGTGGAAGCGGTAATCCGTCCGATTACCGATTACCTGTGCACACATGCACACAGGTTGTCGTGAAGACCAAAAGAAAGGACGTAAGCTGTGCAGTGTCGTCAGTCATCCCAGATTCGCAGACTCACAGAAGCACAGTAGCACAGCAGAGTCTCCAGACCCTGGGCCTGTTCCTTCCGTTTACAGAAAACAGAGCTGCAGTCTAGAAAGGGGAAGTAGCCATTAGACGGCGAATTTCCGGGAGACAGAAACTGTTTCGCTCACCTTTGTGTTTGTTGGGCCAACAAATGTTTACGTCCCTGCAGTGTTCTAAGGACTAGGGAAAAAGTAGCAAATGGAACAAAACACTGCAGCTCTAACTCCTCACAGAAGCTCACGGTTTTGTGTGTGCTGTAAAACGCGTCTAAGTTAAAAAACTAGGATGTTAGGTATTGAAAATGCAATGGGAAAGGAAGTGAGGTGGGGCGTATGTCAGGGACCATCTCACTGGAAAAGTGACATTTCACTAGAGATCTGAAGGAAGTTGGCAAGCCCTGTGGCTGTCTGGGGGAAGAACATTTTTGACAAAGGCAAGCGTAAAGGCCCTGAGGCAGAGTAGCATCTGGTCAAGGATGGACAAGGTTGATGTAGCTGGTACAGCATGGGAGTGGGGGAGGTGAGTAGAGGTGAGGCCAGAGAGGCAGGAAGTGAAGCACCTGGCTCCCAGCACACAGCAGATGGCCAGGGAAAGTTCGCGAACCAAACCGAAAAGGCCCAAGAGTGAAGTCTCCCCAAAGGATTTGGGCTGTAACCTACTGTAACCGGGCTGTCTGCCTCATCCTTGCCCCATGCCCAACTAAGGACGCCATTTCAGTTCAGCTGATGACTCCTTGTTCGTCCCTAACCTGGGGTTGGTGCTGTCGAGCAGTGGTTTTCCAACATCTTGTCCACACCCCAGCTGTAAGAAATGCCTTTTAAGTCAGAGCCCAATGCACGCCCCCACCCCCACACTAAAACAAAAGTTTCACCAAACAGTACTTCCCTTACCGCATGCAACGCACTCCATTTCTCTTCTTTTAAATGCTAATCCACCTCCTTAACTGATCTAACCCTAGAGTCAGACCTGCTATTTGAGAAACATTACCACGGGAAAAGAGAACTCTACCTTAGGCTACTGCTCCCTAGCTCCTCTCAGTGTCTTTGGTTGGGGTGAACCCACAGTAAAAACATCACCCATGTGGACAGCCCTTTGCAGATTCAAAACCCCCTCCTGTGTACCCTTACCAGCTGGGATGAGGGGGGGGGCGGGTCGCAGAAAGAGAAACCAAGCGGCTGGGAGATTGAGTTTCCCATAGTAAGTCGTAGAAAGCTGTGCTGAAGCTGGAATCTGAACTCAGGATCCCACGTCCAGGGCTGTGGCCAGAGCCCTTGGTCTGGAGCTCCTGCCATGCCCAGGGCGTGGAAGGAAGATAACCTTTCTGAAGAGGAGCCCTTGGGGAAAGGGCTAAAGGTGCCAGGCAGAACATTACATCCCGTGATCTCGCCCCACCAGGAGGGCCGTGTAGCCATCACGCGGGTGGCCAACCTCCTGCTGTGTATGTACGCCAAGGAGACCGTGGGCTTCGGGATGCTCAAGGCCAAGGTGTGTACGTGCCCCTCTGTCTGCAGCCCTGGGCCCAGGCCTGGGCTTTTCACTGTCCGCTCCCACCCCATCGCCTTCCTGGAGTCCTCCTGTCACCCAGCCTGTGTGTGGTGGGGGCGGGGCGCCTAGCGGAAGAGCCCACGTAGACTGGGACCCCTCTGGTGGCAGACCTGTGCGGGCCTGATCACTCCTCCCCTCTTGCAGGCCCAGGCTTTGGTGCAGTACCTGGAGGAGCCCCTTACCCAAGTGGCGGCATCATAGCGAGCCTCGGTTGGAGCTGGGGTCAGAAAAGATCAGTGATCATTTGGAGGGGCGGGGCTCCCTGGGGAAACCTTTCTGGACGGTTCCGGAGGCTGAGACTTTTTTCCAAGAATAAACTTGAACTCCTATCTATCTTGCGTGATGGCTGCTTTCTTGAATGGGAGGAGTCCAAAGAGGTGGGAAGGAGCACGGAGTGCTCTGGAGACCCCTGAGGGCCTGCGACTCCTGCCGGCCCCTCACCTTGCCCTCTGGCAGCCAAGTGGCTCCCGCAGTGATGCCTTAGCTGCCTTGGCCTTTCCAGCAACAGGACGTATCATCGGCCCTGCCGC